GTAAGTAGAAGTATAGATTAGGGTGTTGCAGTGGATGTGATCTTTTTGGATTTTGCCAAAGCATTTGATACAGTTCCACACAATAGATTAGTGTTCAAACTCAAGGAAATTGGTCTAGATGAAAATGCTTGTTCTTGGGTAGAACATTGGCTTAAAAACAGTACAAAGAGTTGTCATCAATGGTAAATTTTCAAGCTGGACAGAGGTGGCAAGTGGTGTCCCTCAGGGGTCTGTTCTGGGACCCCTTCTATTTAACATGTTTATAAATGATCTTGAAGACAGCATTGAAAGTCATGTTTCAATGTTTGCAGATGACACAAAACTTTGTAAAATAATCCAATGTGAGCAAGATATTACTTTGCTGCAGAGGGATTTAGATAGACTGGGGGACTGGGCACTCACATGGCAGATGAAATTTAATGTTGAAAAATGCAAAGTTTTGCACTTCAGCGTAAAGAATACACAAGCTTCCATACCCTTAATGGAAGCGAATTAGGGATAACAACATACGAAAAAGGACTTGAGAATTGTTATAGACAACAAACTATGCAACAATGTGCAATGTCAATCAGCAGTGGCCAAGGCCAGTAAGGTTTTGTCATGCATGAAAAAGGGCATTCATTCTCGGGACGAGAATATCATTTTGCCTCTTTATAAATCACTGGTAAGACCCCATATTAATAAAACATTTGTTTTTTGCTGTTGATCCAAAAGAAGGCAAAAAAAACCAGTTTGAAGCACAATTTTGCAACAAGCTAGGAAAAAAATCCCTTCTTGACCCCAGAATGGCAGTCAGATTTATCCCTGGATCAAGCAGTTATAACCCTACATTGAAAGAGTTGCATAGTTTGTTGTCTGCCATTTGAGTGCCCAGTCCCCCAGTCTATCTAAATCCCTCTGCAGCAAAGTAATATCTTGCTCACATTGTATGTTCAGATTTTCTATTGGATTGAGGTCTGGGCTTTGACTAGGTCATTCCAACACATGTACATGTTTCCCCTTAAACCACTCAAGTGTTGCATTAGCAGTGTGTTTGAGGTCAATGTCCTGCTGGAAGGTGAACCTCTGTCCTAGCCTCAAATCACGCACAGAGTGGTACAGGTTTTGTTCAAGAATATCCCTGTATTTAGCACCATCTTTCTGAGGGAATAAAACTCTGAATAGTTTTCCAGTCCCGGCTGCTGAAAAACATCCCCACAGCATGATGCTGCCACCACTATGTTTCACTATGGGGATGGTGTTCTTTGGGTGATGTGATGTGTTGGGTTTGCGCCAGACATAGCGTTTTCTTTGATGGCCGAAAAGTTCAATTTTAGTCTCATCAGACCAGAGCACCTTCCTCTATACATTTTGGGAGTCTCCCACATGCTTTTTCGCAAACTCAAAACGTGCCATTTTTTTTTTGCTGAAAGTAATGGCTTTCTTCTGGCCACTCTACCATAAAGCCCAACTCTATGGAGCGTACGGCTTATTGTTGTCCTATGTACAGATACTCAAGTCTCTGCTGTGGAACTCTGCAGCTCCTCCAGGGTTACTTTAGGTCTCTGTGCTGCTTCTCTGATTAATGTCTCCTTGCCTGGTCTGTGAGTTTTGGTGGCAGGCCGCCTCTTGGCAGGTTTGTTGTTGTGCTCTTTCCATTTGGTTATGATAGATTTGATGGTGCTCTTGGGGATCATCAAAGATTTGGATATTTTTTTATAACCTATCCCTGACTTGTACTTCTCAACAACATTGTCCCTTACTTGTTTGGAGAGTTCCTTGGTCTTCATGGCAGTTTTTGGTTATTGGTTCCTCTTGCTTAGGTGTTGCAACCTCTGGGGCCTTTCAAAAAAGGTGTGTATATGTAATGACAGATCATGTGACACTTAGATTGCACACAAGTGAAGGTAATTAGTTGTACTAGAGCTTTTTTCATGGGCTTCATAACAAAGGGGGTGAATGCATACGCACATGTCAATTTTCTGTTTTCTATTTCTAAAAAATAGTTTTATGTATATAAAATTCATATTAATAAAACATTGAACTTAAGGCTGTAATGTAACAAAATAGGTAAAAAGTCAAGAGGGGTGAATACTTTTGCAAGGCACTGTAGGTAAAAGAAGCGTTTGGCGATTGCTCTAGGTCAAGACATCTCTAGGTTTCTGTGAGATTGATGTTCAGACGGTGGTGTCAATTGGGTCTTAGGTATGCTGATGTCAAAAGTCATTATATAATTAAAATGGCAATATAAATCATAGTGTAGACCCCGGTCTAGCACAGGAGGTGCGGGCTCTATTCTGGATCAAATAGAGTACGCTGAGTAGGACCAGGTATGTTGCATAGGAAATAGACAGGATTCAAGTCCAGAGCCACAGGATGCATGGTCAGAGCCAAAGGATGCAAGGCCAGGGTCGCAAGATACAGAGCCATAGGATGCAAGGCCAGAGCCACAGGATGCAAGGCTAGAGCCACAGGATGTAATGCCTATACTGCAACAGGAAAAATGAAACAATTGGAAAGGGTTTTTTTCCATTGGAAAGGGTATGGGCCTGAAGATGACTCATGGGAAGACAATGAGAACATACATGTCTCTCGATTAATTGCCTCATTCCATAAATAATATCCAGAAAAACCTCAATAATAGCACTCGAAGCATGCTCCTTAGGAGGGGGTTACCATCAGGATTCCCCATATCTTCCTTCTGATTGACATTACCCATATGACTTCCGGGTTTCGCAAATCCGACTCCGCCCATGTGTATGATGTCACGCCCTTCCCTTTCAAAAGGAAGCCGCGGCCACATCCAAATTGCTCAATCAATTTGTGCCTCTTGCATACCTTGTTATTTTGTTGCTGATTGCCGACGGAGCTCTTCTCTTGCTTAATCCTGACTACGCTGACTTCTCCACTCCCAGACTAGGAACAGACATCACCACAAATTCCTTCATTCCTCCATATACTGCAGGGAACCATAATCCACACTATTCTGGAAAGGACTTCCATGCTCATCATCCAAAGAATGCAAGATACGTTCTCCAGTTACTGGGATTAATAATTGGTTCAAGCCTTATGTTTATTTGAAAGGATAAAAAGGAAATTCTCTTGTTTGCCATCTGGGTTCTAGTTACTCCTTAATTGCACTATTGGATGTAACCATTCCGCTGATTACTCTTTTCTAATTTAATTCATTTATTGCCAGAATCTAAAGGACTGTGGTATATTTTCCCAAGGTAGGATCTATCTTTACTTTTGCATTATTATTTTCAATTTATATTGCTGCAGAGGATTATTAAAGTAGAAATACCAAAATTAAATAAATTGTATTTTCTTAAAGCGACGGTATCAAATGTATTATTTCATCTGCAGTTGTGTTCCAAATGAAGTTTTTCTAAAAGTATTAAAACCAATTAGAGCACTCTGACAGCCAAGTTTCACTATTTATTTTGCCTTTTTTTGAAGAAGATAAAGACTTAATTACACAAAGGCATCTAAATGTAAGTACAGGATATATGTAATTTAAAATATTCAGTATATTTTACCTCCCACTATTATTAGAGGGAGGAGGGTGGATAGGTTTACTTTCTTTGGGGTGAGAGATGGATAGGTGTTTGGACTCTAGCTTCTTGGCGTGAGGGGTTTCACATGGACATGCCATTGTCTACTTTCTTCTATATTTAGTCACAGCCCCCACCCACTGCCCTTCGATAGTGGCTGAAGGGGGAATAGATCACTCATCCAGTTTGTTAACTAGAACTGCCACCCACTGTGCATGTGTGGGATCCGGGGGAAGACAATAGTTGCCCTTTGCTTATTAGTAAGAGCCCCCACTGACTGACCAAGTGTAGGGACAGGGGAGCCCCAAGTCCTCCTTCTATAATTATAATATTATAGCTCCCATCTACTGACCCTTGATGGGGTACTGAGTGGACACCAAGCCCCCCTACCCCCAACATTTATAATATAAATGGGAGCAATGGTAGATTATATTCACCCTCACATTAAGGGGACGCTATGTCCTTTTCAATTTATTTATTAATTGGGGCAAAGGGTGGGGACAGTAATCTGTCCACCCCTATTCTTTCTTTTGAAGCTTTGATGACCACAGGAAAGATCTGTATCCGGTCATCTCTGTTTGTTACTAGAAGTAGCTACCAGTGGCTAGTATTTTATTTGAGGGAGCACCCACTGGGCTGCTCACTGTTTTTGTTTAGTAGACATGCTCCCAGCCTCCCACTGTTAACTAGTAGAAATTTAGCAAGGATAGGGGAAGGGGTCGTGTTAGCTAATCAACCACTGGCAGTAGGGCCATGTCTTAACACCTCTTCCTAAAGCCTCTGGACTGTTGACATATCCACCATTGTTCCCACCACAATGCTACCACCACTGTTATTAATATTCAGTCTCCTGAGGGTTTTGTTATTATTTATAAAGTGCCAACAGATTATGCAGTGCTATTGCTCTTTCCCCTACTACTGCAGACAATATTTATTACTTCTTGCTCAGTTGGAACTCTACAAGGAGCCAGAGTAATCACAAGAGTAGAGTCTGGAGAGGACATTCATCACCAGTACTACCATCTACATCACCAGCAGTGCCACCACCATGACTCTTTCTATTAGCATTAGTCTGCTTCCCATTTTCATTTATATAGGATTGCAAAAGGAAAAACAATCACTATTAAAGTTCTCATTATTTTTTTTATTTTTAGGTTTATAAAGGCATAGGATAATATATGAGAATTCACAGTGGATTTAAAATTTAAGGCCGGAGTAACTGAACCATAGATTGCTTAGATAATCTTTCCAGTTCAGTTATTTTAACTTGAAATAGACTTTGATTTCAAATTTTAGTAAATAACCCTGACATGAATCGAGTGAAACAATCTTTTTCTTTAAACATTTTCATCCTTTTAAGCACACTCTCTCACTGACCCATACAGTCACTCATTGGTGCACACGTACACTGTTTAACCAGCATACACTCTTTCTGACACACACTCTCACTAATACACATGTACTCACCTGCACACAATGTTTAACTAAAACACACACTTTTATTGACAGACTAATACATTCTCACTGACAGACACACACTGACATTAACACTCACAGAGAGACATACACTCTCACTGATATGACACACATAAATATTCTATCACACACTCACAAATTAATTTTATTTATAATGTTTTTGTTTTGTTTTTGAGGCCCTCTCTACCATACCTTTGAAAGAACGTGTAAGGATCCCCTCCCAGGGCTCACTGACAGATACACTCACTGACAGACATGTACTCATATGTTATAAACCACCTAATGTTAATATTGACTAGGAACAACAGCTGTTTGAGCAAATTGAGAAAGCTGCAAATCTGGGTAACACTTTAATTATTGGAGATTTTAATTACCCGAACATAAATAGGGACAGAGGGACTAGTAGCTCAGCAAAGGGAATGAGGTTTTTGAGCTTGTTAAATGACGCCTTCATGTCATAACTTGTACAAGCACCAACTAAAAAGGTTGCTTGTCTGGACCTGGTTCTAACAAACAACATTGATCTTTTGACCAACATTCAAGTAGGTGGGCACTTAGGAAATAGTGATCACAATATAGTATCATTTAAATAAACTAAAAAAAAAAACAAAAGCACATGAGGTATACTAAAAAATATAATTTTAAAAAGGGCAATTTCTATAAGTTAAGGGCAGCTTTGCAATGTATTGACTGGCATAAACTCTTTAGTGAAAAGAACACTGAGGATAAATGGAACATCTTTCAACAAATATTAGAAAGGCACATTTCTCAGTATGTACCACTGGATAATAAATATAAAAGAAACAAATTGAAACCAAAGTGGCTTAGTAGAAAAGTAAAACAAGAGATTAAAAATAAAAAAACAATTTAAAGCATTTAAATCAGACAAATCAGATGCATCCTATAAAAGATATAAGGAAGCCAATAATGCGTAAAAAAAAGGCGACTAGATTCGGTAAAATTCAAAATGAAAAAATGATAGCCAAAGAGAGCAAAACCAACCCCAAAGCATTCTTTCAAGTACATCAATTCTAAAAAAATGAAAGTGTAGGTACACTAAAAACTGGAATGGGGGTGTTAGTTAATGAAGACCAGGAAAAGGCAGATATTTTAAATAACTATTTCTCCTCGGTATATGTTAAGGAAGAACCCATGGCAATAGATGTGCAAATGGCTGCTGCTAAAAACTTGCAGAAAAATTGTAATTGGTTAACTCAAGACCAGGTGCTGCAGCAACTAAAGAAAGTTAATATAAACAAAGCTCCAGGGCCTGACGGTATTCATCCACGACTACTTAAGGAACTAAGTGTAGAAATAAGTGAACCTCTGTTTTTAATCTTTCAAGATTCTTTTCTTTCAGGAAGTGTTCCTTTATATTCAAAAAGGGTTCAAAATCCTTGCCTGGAAATTATAGACCTGTGAGCTTAACTTCTGTGGCTGGAAAAGTATTTGAAAGGTTATTAAGGGATAATATTCAAGAATACCTTGAGAATAACATGGTTTTATGAAGCACGGGTCATGTCAAACTAACTTAATTGCATTCTATGAAGAAGTAAGTAGAAGTATTGATCAGAGTGTTGCAGTGAATGTGATCTATTTGGATTTTGCCAAGGCATTTGATACAGTTCCATGCCATAGATTAGTGTTCACACTCAAAGAAATCGGGAAATGCTTGTTCTTGGGTAGAACATTGGCTTACAAATAGAGTACAAAGAGTTTTCATTAATGGTAAATTTTCAAGCTGGACAGAGGTGGCAAGTAGTGTCCATTGGCGGATCCAGGGAAAACCGACGGTCTCCCTCTCCCCTGCCAGCACATGAAGGCACCAGCCCTGCAATGTGCCTTCGTGGACCGGAGGGGAGATCAGAGACACATACACTGCAATACTCATACACACACACACTGCAACTGTTACACACACATACTGCCCCACACATACACTGCATCCCTGACATACACTGCCGCCCTCACTCACACACTACAGCCTTCACACACACACTGCTCACACACTGTCCCCCTCACACACACACACACACACAGCACCCCTTACACATTGCACCACTCACACACACCACTGCTCCTATGCCCTACTATGGCCCCATTTCCCAGCAGACCTCAGGTAAGTTGTCAAACTGTTCTTAAACGGTTTGACTACTTACTCTGGCAGGGAGTCCCGGGAGTATTGACACCATAACCACTACACTGAGCTGTAGTGGTTATTGTGTCTGGATTATTTCTTTAAATAATCTACAAGTGCCCCTCCCAAGATCAGGCTCTGGATCCGCCAATGGTACTGTCCCTCAGGGTTCTGTTCTGGGACCGTTTCTATTTAGCATGTTTATAAATTATCTTGAAAAAAGCATTGAAAGTCATGTTTCAGTGTTTGTATGTGACACAAAACTCTGTAAAGTAATACAATGTGAGCAAGACATTACTTTGCTGCAGAGGGATTTAGATAGACTGGGCGACTGGGCACTCAAATGGCAGATGAAATTTAATGTTGAAAAATGCAAAGTTATGCACTTAGGTGTAAAGAATGCACAAGCAACGTATACCCTTAACGGAATCAAATTAGGGATAACAACACACGTAAATGACTTGGGAATTGTTATAGACAACAAACTATGCAACAATATGCAATATCAATCAGCAGTGGCTAAGGCCAGTAAGGTATTGTCATGCATGAAAAAGGGCATTCATTCTCGGGATCAGAATATCATTTTGCCTCTTTATGAATCACATATTGAATATGCTGTGCAATTTTTGGCACCTGTTCTAAAGAAGGATATTATGGCACTAGAAACAGTGAGGAGGCGGGCAACAAAATTAATAAAAGGAATGGAACATATCAGCTATGAAGAAAGGTTAACAAATGTAAACCTCTTTAATTAAGAAAAACATCACCTGAGAGAGAATATGATATATATATACAATATATACAATAACAATATACAAATATATTTGGGGCCAATACAAACCATTGTGTGGAAATCTATTCACAAACCGGACTTTACATGAGGTCATGCGTTTAGACTGGAAGAAAGAAGATTTCGTCTAAGGCAAAGAAACATTTTTTTTACTGTAAGAACAGTAGGCATGTGGAATTCTCTGCCTGAAAAAGTGGTTTTATCAGAGTCCATACAGATGTTCAAACAGCAACTAGGTGCATACTTGCAAAAACAAAATATTCAATGATATAGTTTTTCAATGTAGGGTAATAGCTGCTTAATCAAAGGATAAATCTGACTGCCATTCTGGGGTCAAGAAGGAATTTTTTTTCCTAGTTTGTTGCAAAATTGGAAGTGCTTCAAACTGGGTTTTTTTTGCCTTCTTTTGGCTCAACAGCAAAAACAAATGTGAGGAAGGGTGAATTTGATGGACACAAGTCTCTTTTCAGCTATATAACTATGTAACTATCTAACTCACTCACTGATATACACACACACACACACACTCACTTACAGACACACACCTACCCCCATTCACTGACACACACACACACACACACACGCACACTCACTCAGACACACACAATCACTCAGACACACGCCTTCACTGACACACACACGCTCACTCACAGACACACACTGACAGACATTTATACATACTCACTCACAGACACACACACACATTCACTGACAGACACACACTCACTCAGACACACACGGACAGACATACACACATACACTGAAAGACACACACTCATTCACAGACACACTCTCACTCATAGACACACTGTCAGAGACTGAAAGACACACACTCACTCACAGACAAACTGACAACTATACACACACATTCTCTAACAGATACACACACTGACAGACAGGCAGACACACTCACTGCTAGACACACACACTGACAGACATAAACACACTCACTGACAGACAGGCGCAAACATTCACTGACAGACACACACACACACATTCACAGACAGACACACACACACACACACACACACATTTTCCCACAACACTCACAGATTATTGTTATTTTTTTTTAAATTTAAATCCACCCAGCCTCCCTACCTTTGGGAGTGCTGGGTGAATATTTTACTTGTGGTCCAGTGGGGCTGTTGAGGCTGCTGGGCAGGCAGGCGGGAAGGTGGACGTGCAGGCGGGCTGGCTGGAGCAAAAATTAGGCAGCTGAGCTCTTCTTGCTCAGCTCCGTTCCGCACCGGGAGCCAGAGTGACTTCATATTCTGGCTCCCGGCATTACTGCAGGGTGCGCAAGGAAGGGCTCACAGATCAGCGCTCCCTCACCGCCCGCCTGGGACAGAACTGGCCACTCACCTCAGGGGGCCCAAAGGTGGCCTGCCATCCAGCTCTTGTGCCCCCTTAAAAAAAGGCTAACCAGGCATTTTTTGTCTCCCCTCTAGCAAGTGCCGCCCAAGGCAAATGCCTTGTAAGCCTCGCGGTAAATATAGCGCTGAATGAAGGTTGAAACACTTAAAGAACACTCCACATGGGAACATTTATATTCATTGCAATTTACAAAGTCCAGATTTCTATACGATTAGCACTTTTTTAACTAACAGAAACACTATCTTAGATGTCAATCTAATAGCCAGGGAAGGTTTTCTTCCTAATTCCATTAGTTCTTCAAGTACACGTGTGCCTGATGGATTGCATCCATAAAGCCCACTTCAGCCTGTCCACGGATGCCCTGCCAGTCTGGAGAACTAAATTAGAAGCCTCTGATTACCCCAGAGGGGAAATTGGGGAAGGCTTGCAAAGGCTTCAAACTGCAGAGCTGCTAGCAAATGCTGCAAGCAGTATATCTCCTAAATTGTTAAAACATATTCAATTGGGGGAGTTCTCTTGATTGCACGGACGGGCACTTTTTATATTTTGTTTGCATTTTTTATGTATTTTCATTATAATGCTTTACAAAACAGGGTAATGATTTATTTTATTCATTAAAAAGTAAATTGCTGTTAGTTGAAAATCGATTTATTTTTAAACCAAAATACTTGCATTATAAAAATTCTTCTGTTCAGCTGTTTTTCCAATTTGCAAATTTTTGTTTAAGTTGTGGAATTTGTTTTGTTTCCAGAATTATTCTTTAGTGAATTAACTCTTGAATGACTAATAGCTGTAGGTATTTTCTACTGCGGCACATAAACAATTCTAGAATGCATGTATCATTCCCAGACTGATTTCATTATTTTTCCCTCATAAATTCTTTACAAATGTATCACCATGCATTGCATTTTCATTCATGAAGTGCTCAACTACATTCTATCTCTAACCTAATGTTTTCCTATATAGAGTGAATCTCTACCAGGGTGGTCAAAAAAATGTATTAAAAAAGTATTAACAAATATTGATTAATTTTATGCAGCTGCCCAGTCCTCATATATCTTAAATATTAGACATTATACAATAAAAAAAATATGTGGGTTCCATAAATCTAAAAACATTAAAAATGTATATATAGTTATTTCACTTCTAAAATGTTTAATTCAATAATTTTATCTCCAGTGTTTACAAAAACTATAGTTAATATTTTATTTTCTACAGAAACCAGATTGCATGTAATAGATAAAATGCTTAACCAAAGGAGAAATCTATTTCCATTTAGAAGTAAAAACATTTTTTTTCTCTTACACTGACACACTTGGAATTTAACTTTAAACTTGTTTTAAACATGTTTTTTTTTTGTGTGTTTTTTTTTTTCTGAATCACAGCAGAAACATTGGTATGAAAGGTCTAACTGGATAGACATGAACTTGTTAGTTTTTAAATCTAGATTACTGTGCAATTGAGTCAGTACACTATGCTTTATTATGTTACAGAATATATGATAATACTCACTCATAGCACTCTTAAAAGGAAAATCCACTACACAAATACAAAAAATAAATACATAAACATCACTATTTGGTAGATATACCACCAATGGAACCATGCATACAGCAAAAGTAAAATCTGCAGATACACATCATAGCTAATACCTTTTTGATTAGCAGCACTAATGGGATCTCTGTACTGACTGCAAAGATATAAACAGCCCATTTTGTACTTATTGCTGATGTAGTGTCTGTTTTGAAAGTGCTGTAGATTTCTCTTTATCTCTTGTTATGATCTATATAGCTTGCTGATGGTCATTTACAAAAACATTTTAAACTCTTCTTGATCATTTTGTTCCTTAAGGTATAAATGAATGGGTTTAGAAATGGGGTAAATATACTATTAAATGTAGCTACAGTCTTATCTAAGCTGGTGGATATAGTTCCTGCTGGCCGAACATAGATGAAAATACAGCTTCCATATGTAAGCAACACAACAAGAAGGTGTGACGAGCAAGTGGAGAATGTTTTTTTTCTTTCACTAGATGTAGATATGTTGAAGATTGTTGAAAGGATGTAACAGTATGAGAACAATGTAGGGATGAAAGAACCTATTATAGCTACGGAAGCGGTAGTTAAAAAAATATATCCTGCAAGATTAGTGACAGCACACAACACATTTAAGAGCGCAGAACCATCGCAGAAGAAGTGATTAATGAAGCTAGTTGTTTTACAAAATTTTAACTGAGACATAGCCAGGAAAGATGGAAAGAACTCCACGAAACCAAATGCCCAAGCACCAAGGATGAGCTTAGAGCACATGTGTGTAGTCATAATTGCACTGTATCTTAAAGGGTAACAAATAGCAAGGTACCGATCTATAGAGAGCAGAGCCAGGGAACACAACTCTGCAACACCAACAGAGTAATACATGAAGAACTGCAACAGGCAATTGTAGAGAGAGATACAACCGTCGTGAGTTGCCAGGGAAGCAAGGAGTTTAGGGACAGTAGAAGATATAAAGCAAATATCTGCAACTGCGAGATTGCCGAGTAAAATAAACATTGGAATATGAAGTTTCTGATCCACAAGAGTAGCACAAATTATGACCAAATTTCCCAACAATGCTAGAATATAAATAAACAGGAGCCCCACAAAAATGAATGACTGCACGCTGGGTTTGAAAGAGAAGCCTAGAAGAATAAATTGCGTCTGGCTGTGATTGAGCATTTCTAACATAGAAAAGTAACTGCAATGGGGTTGATCACAATTTCAAGATGCTATGAAAACAAAGGGACAAACTTCCAAGTTAATGATTATATATAAACAAATGGTTGTACTAAATCAGGACAACAAAATGAATAAAATAAACAGTTTGCGTGTTACATATTACTTTTGCAAATAAAAAGATGCATTTAACAAAAAACTGAAAGATGCAGAGTTTAGGTAGATTTTGGAAAGTCACCAATATTGTTTAATGACTAATCACTACAAGCCAAAATATGTATGTAGCCTGTTTGACATCATAGGCTCATTGGGAGCAATCAGGGAAATTCTCTGTGGCTTATATAATCAGTGTTAATGGAGTTTTAACAGGACTTGAAATTCAATGTATCTTTTGGTTGGAAAAAAATATATACTTTTTAAAATTTGATAAAGATATTAAAGGAGTATTCTATGCTGCAATTTAAGAGTTTATATTTTATGCATTGTAAAACAATCCAAAGCCGTAAAATATATTCATAATTGAAGTTCCTGCATCTGCAATACATTTCCAAACTACATATAGCCCAGCTCACTCTCTCTCCTTCCATTGTTCGGCTCTTCCATATGCCACTTTAAATGGGAAACCAGAACAACTTTAGCTTAATGAGGCAGTTTTTATGTATAGATTATGCTCCTGAAATCTCACTGCTCAATTCTCTGCCATTTAGGTGTTAAATTACTTTGTTTATACAGCCTCAGTCACTCCTCCCTGCATGTGACTTACAAAACCCTTCTTAAAACTTCCTGTAAAGAGAGATTTAATGTTTAAACTTAATTTATTGCACATTGTGGTTAATTAAGAATTCCTTTTATCCCATGCTCTAATAATAGTATTCTAATCTAGACCATGCAGGCAACTCCTGTGTTTGATTAAAGTTTAGTTTACAGTGCAGAAGATGAAAACACCTAAAGCAAGTTAGCATCTGATTGAAAATGAAACCTTTTTTCATGCAGGCTGTGTCAGTCACAGCCATGGCAAGGCTAGGACTGCATAAACAGAAACAAAAGTGGTGTGACTCCTAAATGGCAGAGAATTAATCACTGAGACTGCAGGGGCATGATCTATACACCAAAACTGCTTCATTAAAGGAACACTATAGGTTCAGGAACACAAACATGTATTCCTGACCCTATAGTGTTTTAAAACCACCATCTAGCCCCCTTGATCCCCTCTTGCCTCCCTAAATACACAGAACACAATTATAAGCACAACACTTTTGCTTTTGCCCTCATTTTTCATGAGCTGGTCCTGGCCTGCTGTGGTAACACATGGTCTGCGGTTGTGAGGCCGGTTTGATGTACTGCCAAATTCCCTGAAAGACCTATGGAAACGGTTTATGGTAGAGAAAGGAACATTCAATTCATGAGCAACAGCTCTGGTGGCCATTCCTGCAGTCAGCATGCCAATTGCACGCGTCCTCAAAACTTTCAACATCTGTGGCATTGTGCTGGGTGATAAAACTGCACATTTTATTGTGAGCACACCTTTGCAATAATCATGCTGTCTAATCAGCATCTTGATATGCCACACCTGTGAGGTGGGTGGATTATCTCAGCAAAGGAGAAGTGCTCACTAACACAGATATAGACAGATTTGTGAACACTATTTGAGAGAAATAGGCCTTTTGTGTATAAAGAAAAAGTATTTGATCTTTAAATCCAGCTCATGAAAAATGGGGGTAAAAACAAAAGTGTTGCATTTATAATATTGTTCAGAGTAGTCAAATCTTACTTGTATTCAAGTCTGGGTCTGCTTGTTTTTTCCCTGTTTCCTTTTGACTTGCCCACTGCCTGCTGACATCATCAGAAGTGGTGGCCTGATCCAATCACAATGCTTCCCCATAGGATTAGCTGAGACTGACAAGAAGGCAGATCAGAGGCAGAACCAGCACAATTCAAACACAGCCCTGGCCAATCAGCATCTTCGCAGAGAGATTAATTGAATCTATGCATCTCTATTAGGAAAGTTCAGTGTCTGCATGCAGAGGGACGAGAAACTGAATGTTGTGATGCTTTTTAGACAGCAATGACCTCGGAAGGATCTCTAACAGTTATCTGTGGAGTGGCCAGTAATGTAGGTTGTAATCTAGGCTGTAATGTAAACTCTGCATTTTCTCTGAAAAGACAGTGTTTACTGCAAAAAGCCTGAAGGTAATGATTCTACTCACCAGAACAAATTCAATAACCTGCAGTTATTCTGGTGACTATAGTGTCCCTTTAAGCTAAAGTTGTTTTTATACATATAGCGTATCTTTAACTAGATTATTTCAACACAGACATCAATCCCTCCTCTACGCTGATGTGCTTTTCTTTCTCTTGAGCTTTTTTACCTCTTTTTCATAGGTTGTAAGCGTACATGACCAGTGCATTTTTCACCTTTTGTCTCTGTCATTATTTTATATGCCACTTACTTATTGTCTACAGTTGTTAAGTGCTGCAGAATACATGTATGTACGTAGTGGGGAATTACGATGCAGCATAAACATAACTAACCCCATTCAACCCCCCAATAACGACAGACAACTTAGTATGGACGAACAGGCCACAGCATTTATTATAACATAAATAAATTACTGCATAACACATCCATAACTTTATTTATTAAATCTCTTCTTTCTGTAACCAAATTGTTAGACATAAACAAGCATCAATTAACATATATACATATATAACTCAACACATAGTGTTATACAGTGACCCAACCGTCCTTGCCAATAAACATGCAGTGGTTCCTGATCACCACTTCCTCTCACCTCCCCCCTCGTCATAAAGCATATCCTATGCCCGCCATCAGCCGACCTTATCCACGCTTGATGGGCACGACACCTCAGGCAACCTAATGTTAACCCTTTGAAGCAGGGGAGGTTGAGACCTGCAAACATAATGAAACTAAATGCGCACACTTTAACAAGGAGGTTGTTACCTGACGTATATACTGGTAACAACCTCCTTGTTAAAGTGTGCGCATTTACCTTTTTTCATACCTCATTGTACTCTTTTTAAGTATATATAGTGGTGATATACTTGGGTATAGCGGCACCTTTAAATATATTACATCCTCTAGCGCCATTTTCTATTATTCTTTTTATTATAATGAAACTAACTCCATCCTTAAATATAACCCCTCAAAGTTAATTGGCAAGGACATACCCCCGTCTTGCTGTGACTAACTAATACTACAAGGGGTGGGCGGGAAGCTGTTTGCTGGCCCGAATCCCAAGTGGCACTGAGGTAAGACCTCCCCCCTATTAACTCACATAGACCAAACCCCACCCACACACTCTTCCCAAGACATTCCCCCGCATCTATCCCCACACTCCTACATGTGCCCTTGTCCGCTTAGCTGCGCTATCTCCCCAGGGCCTGAACACAGGTTTTGCCAACAGGATCTCAGCAGGTTAAAGGCTCCTATTTAGTTGCAAAAGAGCCCACCATCTCCCACTAGAACTGGAGGCATAACTGGAGCTCTATGGCTCTTCTACTACCACCACTTGCTCCATGTATGCCCACACTGCAGCTCACTTCTGGTTCCCAAGACGTTAGCTCCTCGAGCAGCCAGTTGAATATGGATACTGTACATCCCTATCCCTCCCATTCCTGCTGCTTCCATACAGTTGACAACTGAGAACCATCCAGAAAAAGTCCCCAAAGTATTCACCTTCATCAGGTTTAATTGTGCTCCAGATGTAATTAATATGAAGTGCATTTACCTTCCACATACTGCCCCTCCTCCCTCCTGCCCCCCTGCACACACACCCATACATTGTCACCAACTCACTAACCCTAACACAATCACTCACCACCTAACTGGCTCATTCTATCACACTAAGAACCCCTCACCCTGCCACAGTCAGCCCCCTCACCCTGTCACACTAACCCTCTAACTCTGTTACACTCACCCACCCCCAACTTTCACACTCACCCCCTTAAGTTGTTACACTCCCTTTCACAGACACACATCAAACACTGTCCTTCCTCAACCTGCCACACTCACCCCTCATCCTGAAACACTCACGCCCCTCACCCTCTCACACTTACCTTCACAGTCACTCCGGTACTCACCCTACTAAAGATAGTCATCATCATCAACAATTACATCCCACACATGAAACACACACATTAATGTACAAGGATGCTCAGACACATAGATAAACAGACATACTCAGCCACTCAGTCAGAAGTGCACACACATGAACACACAACTCAGGCTTAAAGACGGGTACCTAACGCTACACATAGACACACTCGGCCCTCGCCAACACAGCTCTCAGTCTCCTCAATGCCACAACACTCCATACACCACACGCTCTCCCTCACACATTACACTCCCAGAAACAGAAAACAGAGCCCAGGTCTCTAGGGGGATTTGGAATCTGGAATCCAGAATCTGGAATCTGGAATCCTAGGGCTCTGGGCAACTTTAATCTGTTTCTGGTTGAAAGAATAGTGTCCTGGATAGAGAATAGCTAACAAGGTAAGACACTGCTATTGGGGAAGTGTCTCTTTGTGACATTAAATGCTTCAAGAGTGTATCTTTTTGCCCCCCTCCCCCTTATTTTTGTTTATTGGTATGTAAAATTATATCTTTAATACCCTATGCATATATTTTTATATTCCGTCTGACATTTTAGCTGTGAATGTCATAATACTGTTAGGTTTTACTGCAAAAAATGCACATATTTGTAATCAGCGATGTCTCATGAGTACAACAGTACCCCCATTAACAGGTTTTATGGTGTTTTGGAAAGTTACAGGGTCAAATATAGAACGTTCCATTTTCAAAGGGAAATTTGCCAGAT